AGCCCTTTTAATAGCAGTCCACATTCATTACATGCAACCAGACTAAACTCTTCAAGGCTGAGACTTAGGGAGCAATAAAAGAGTAAAAGAGTCAACACAAATCATTTCTGAGGAATTGTGAAGGACATAAAGATGGGTACTGCTGGGAACAGCACCCAGTGCACGTGCTTTAGGGAAATCTATCCCTAGGGCTTGGTTGAGAAGGTATAAAGCACAAGATTTTCACACATCACCAGGCCAGAAGAGCAAATTAGACAATATGAAATGAATATAAATGTGAATATACTCTAGGATCAAGCTGGGCATTGTGCAGGCTCATGACACCAACTTACCTTCATCTAGGAGCTGGAGGGCGACCTAACAGTCACAGCAGAGGCCAGCCAAGGCAGAGGGAGACACAGACCATATGGCTTCTTGATCTCACCAGGCCTGCAGGGGATCAAAGCTTCATCTCTGAGGGGATGAAGGCATTCATCTTGAGGATTGGGTAAATTATCTGTTCTAGGTCACATCTGACTTCAAAAGCAGGCATCTTCTGTATCTCCATCCTCTACTGGTTGCTGGTAAGATGTGCACAGATATCTGTAGGTCTAGAACTGCTGGGACAGGAAAAGAGATTTTCAGTCACTAGGCAAAAGAGCTTTACAGGCCAACAGTACTGCCTTTGTGCAAAGCTGGAAAGTTACCCACAGTCTCCATGTCAGGAAGGCCCTCCAAAGCTAGAGAATGAATGGTTCAAGAATGTGCACACTCTCTAATTAAGTCTGAATCAACAAGAGAACTAGAAAGAAGCTGCAGCTGTGGGAGTTACCTCTACCAGCAATCTCTGAACACTGCCTTTGCTGGAGAGTTCTGTCATTTTGATCATTACTATCACTGTAACTTCTAGGACCTGGTAGTCTCTTTTTAAATCATCAGCTTCTGTGCAACCAAACCTTTCCTTTCATTTATCTGTCTTAGCAAAGTAGTGACATGCAGAATTTTCAAAATAAATGTGACTCAATACTAAAACAAAAATGAAAATGCAGTCATTCATTGCAGGCAAGCTGCACCTCACAAAGTCACATTTGTCAAGTGCAGGTTCTCTATCCTAAAGGGCACATGATCCAGCCTCAGAAGACAGCACCATTTCCTTCTCTCACCCGGGCGTGCAGACTGTGCCTGTTACTTAAACAACCTTTTCTGGATGCCACATTTTTTCCCTCATGTGTGGTTGGATGTTCTGAAAACAGGATGAACTAGGTAACAGAAAAAGATGACCTGCGGAGTCAAGAAATGCCTCTGCACAATGAAGATGAAGCAAGTAGCACGCAGCTGGGAGAAGCTGGGCTGTCTTCCTGGTAGAGGGAGCAACTTGTACCGGGATGAGCAAGAATCTAATGTCCTAGAGGAACTGAAACAAACTGTTTAGAGCCAGAGGGCACTGAGGAAGGGGGAGGTGCCATGAGATTAGATTAGAGAGAAAGTCAAAGGTCAGAGCACATAGACTGTAGTGAGGCGTTCAATAAGCAGCTGAAGAATTTAAATGGGAAAATGATAAGATTGTCTTGAGAAATCCTTCTAGCCTCTAGATGCAGTTGGGAATTGAAGGGAGGAAATATATTTAAGGAGGCCAATTAATTGGCTACTGGAGATATCTGGGTAAAGCATGATGCTAGTTTGAAATATTGGACTTCAAATTGTGGGTCACAGCCTATCAGTGCTGTGCGGTCATTTGAATGGTCTTACCTGGCAACGTCAAAGAAGTGGAAAAATGAAGAGTGTCAAGCATGCAAAGTCATAATTTTGCTTTTAGTTTCTCATGAATGTAAGTATGCATGTACAGGTACATGTTGCAAAACATAAGGATTTATTCAAATGCATGAGAATGGAAGAGGCACCAGAAAATAGACCGGAGAGAAAGGAGACAGAGTTCTGAGGTCAATCTTATTTTATTTTTAAATAGTACATGTGAGTGCTGAAAGAGCTGGTACACAGACTTGACTCAACCCTTAACAAATAAGAGAATGTGTGAAAGCCTGTGGGCAGGTCATGGGGGGGGCGTGCAGAGGTGTCTCCCAATTGGCTAGCTCCTCCAAGGGGCGGGGCCTGCCATAGCAGGTAGCCTACTGAGGGCCTGCTGGGAGCCATCTTGAAAGGAAAGCCACAGCCGTGGGTAGTGAGTGGCACAGGGAGCACACAAGAGCAGCAACCGGGTGTACTCAGGACAGAATGGCCTATCGGAATGGACCTGGGGTAAGATCGCTGGCCCCTGAGGTGTGAGCGAATGCTAGTGGTGACTATGGGCATGGCTTGGGAACTGGAGTGGAGGGGCGCGGAGCTAGGCATGGGTTGCTCATGTCCTTGTAAGTCACTCTCCTCCCCCCATGACAATAATAAATACGTATAAAGATATGTTATATGGTTTGCCCGATAGCACGAGAGACCCCGAGAGAACTCGGGTGACAAAACTGGCATAGTCCAGCCGATAAAGGAACCACAGCCTTGGGGATGTGGGCCTCAGAAAGCAGTGCTGTTCCTACTGCCCCTGTGGCAGGTCAGCTGGGCTCTGAGTCCCAAATCCAGGAGAGAAGCCAATCAAAACCCCTATGCTTAATGGGGTTAGGGATAGTCACATGGGTTATACAGTGGGTTATAAAATCTGTAACTAAGAAGAGGCCAGCCATGTAGAAGTGTGGGACACAGCTATGTTGTAAATGTGGGGCTATGTTGCTGGTATGTGACAATTTCTTAAAGGTTATTCAGAGCTCCAAGAGAGGGAGCATGGCCACTTTGCATCATAAAGGATGTGCCCCAGGTAGGGGAAGATGCAAAGGCCAGGGAAGTCCTGGCAGACCCAGTTCCAGAGCTGGAGAGAGAGAGAGAAAGGGTGGGACACTTTGACTTGTGTGAGGTCCAAGGACTCAGAGGAAAAGACAGATAATAGTAAAAAGGAAAAAAAAGCTAACTGTGCTGCAGCTAAGAAATAGTCCATGCTAGAATTGTTAAAACTAGGAAAAACTAAGCAAGCAAGCAGAGAGCCCCTGGCCATGTGGCTTGTAAGAGTATGGGACATGGGAGCAAATGACATCAGCCTAAGTCCTTCAGAAGCTTCGCAGCTGAGTTACATAACCACCAATCCGTCCTTGCAATATAGGCTGTTCAACCTAAGCCCATGGGAGCGGGGAGCAGTCCTTAATGGGATGGCTGGTTGAAGGCATTAAAGATATATGGTCATCACCAAGGGAGACTAACATGATTAGCAGGGGCAGGAGGACTATAAAGGAGGGGCAGGCATTACTGAGAGAACTAGCTATGAGAAAAACAATATATAATGCTCAGTTCACTGGGCCAGATAAGACTGTGTTCTCCAGAGATATAAAGGCGAGCTTAATTCAACTGGGACCTTGGAATGGTATGGGGCTTTAATGGTTTTACTAAACCCTTTGATGGGACAGAATCTGTGCAAAGTGAGAGAGGCTTTGGCAAATCTAAATTATTCTGACCAGCATGTAAAACATGTCTGTAAAATAATAGAACACCCTATAAGAGATATAAAAAAGACCAGACAGAAGAAATGGTCCACTTGAGTTACTCGAAGACAAATGTGCAAGACTTATGTAAAGCCCAAATCCCCAGAGAAAAAAATTGATAGAAAACCAAATTAGGTACTAAGGCATTTCTGGAAGGTTTTAAAACCAGAAGAACAGTTTACAAAGGTCATTCAAAGAATAAAAATTGTGCAAGGGGTGGTTAAGAATCCCCAATTAAATAAGATGCATTTCTCTTCTGATAAAGGCTATACTAGGTGTGGAAGCAGGTTTTCCCACCAAGCTCTCCCCTAGAAATCTGGTGTAGTCAATGGGAAGGTGACAGATATGGCTACAGTCAGGAGGCAGACCCAGAGCCTGCCTGACTCAGGGAACCCACAAGTGCAGGGGGGACAGGAGAAGCCCCCTACCTCCTTAGCCCAGTGCACAGTCAGGCAACTGGAGCCAGCACCTGTAAGTGTATCAAGAATAAAAGAGTACAAAAAGACTCCACGTAAAATCCCCCAAGTGCGAAATGACTCCAAAGGGATAACTAAAAATGGTAAAAAGCTAACCAAATTAATGCCTCATGCCCATGCTATGGTACCTAACAAGGATCTATGGAGAAAACAGTTAATATGAATGGACAAAACCTTTCCATGCTGTGTGAGACCTTGTCTATGATTGATTTAATATATGTTAAACTTCTTTTGAGTGTTTTATGGCTGTGAAACCCATTTGAAAGATACCTGAAGAAGCAAAGTCCAGCTATAGCTGTAAGATTCTTGGAAGTTTTATGGTTGGGTAAAATAAAGACAGAGACTCCCAAACCATACAACTGTTAAGAAAATCTGCAATACCAGTGGTGGGTTGTCCCCCTATGACCTGTTGGTCAGAGAGAGCTCCTAGAGGCCCTCTAATTCACCAAGTCTATTGCCATTAATGTCGGTTGTACACTAGAAAGGTCGGTAAGGCCATGTTGCTGAGGACACTGCATGTTGTGAGCATGGGAGAAAAAGAAGAGACGGAACTGAGGCTAAGCCAAAAAAAACCCCATGCCACTGGATGGATGATGTTCATATTGCCAGAAGGTGCTATGCAGATGGTTGGGGAAGAAAGGATTCTCTATAATTCTACTCAACAATGGACCCTGCATGCTGCACACTATGGACATCAAGCAATACCTGCAAGTGCAATAATGGCTCAACCAACATACATTCAACTTACAAATTTCTGATTGGATAAGGCCTGCTCCTAGGGGTGGAACACACATCTGGTGCTGTAGACCAGGCCAACGCCTTGTGTCAAGAAAGGCTACAGGCCCTAGTAGAGAAGCCATCACAAGTATACTGTTTAATGAATACAGTATAACTACTGGGATATCTTCTAGGTATCTGTATTTACATTCATGTTTGTTTAAATGTGTCTACTTCCTTCCATTTGTCTTTTAGAAGAAACACCACTGAGGTAGATCAGTGGCCACAGCCTAAAGATGACTAATGGGGAGGCCCAAGAAGCCACTATCTCGCCATGATACAAGAGAGATTGCCCTACATCTGTCACCCCCTCAAGGCTCACTCTCACCCCTTCCTTAGTAGAAGATGGATGGGAAGATTGTAAGAGTGGAGGAAAGGGGTGAGTGTCTCCCAATTGGCTAGTTCCTCCAAGGGGTGGGGCCTGCTGCAGAGGGTGGACTACTGAGGGGCTGCTGGGAGCCATCTTGAAAGGGAAGCTGTGAGCAGAGGGTAGCGAGTGGTGTGGGCAATGTGCAGCAGCAGCAGCCAGGCATACACAAGGACAGAATGGCCTGTCAGAATGGACCTGAGGTGAGACCACTGGCCCCTGAGGTGTGAGCAAATGCTAGTCGTGACTATGGCATCAGGTGCTTGTTTCCTTGTAAGTCATTCCCCTCTCTCCCCCATGACAATAATAAATACACATAAAGATATGTTATGTGGTTTGCCTAATAGTGCAAGAGATCCAGAGAGAACTCGAGCGACAACAGGGGAAGACTAAATATGATTAAAATGTATGAAATTCACAAGAATTTAACAAAATATACATTGAAAAAATATAGTGTATATGAGGCTACTATTGACGGTCAACTTGATAGAATCTCCAGTTCTAACTCTGTTGAACTTTTCCACAGTGCAACCTGGACTGTTCAGTCTCATATCTCATGTTATGATTATTTGAAGTGTTCAAAAATTTGTAACATTACCACTATGAGTAAGAAACATGCAAGTGCACTGGGTTACATGTCATGCATGGTTTGATTTTGTCTGAAGAGGATAGACTGACTTTCTGAGGTAAGGTGATCTTAGTGAGTCTCTTTACGCAGGTGTACCTGAGTGTACTTGACCTGATGACAACAGATTTGTAACAAATCATTACTGAAAATCAGAGACTTTCCTTGGAAAGGAAGAAGACATGTCATGAGCAGTTAGCAGCTGCAGAAACCTTCAATTACAAAGCATACCCTTAGCAGAGGCACTTCCCGCTGTGCTGACTCTAAGACGCTTTTCTTCATTTTACACACACAAGCACACACCCTCTATCTACAAACATGTTAAGACCCATGTGTTCACATAACCCATTTACAAATTGCTAGATGAAGCTAGCATCAGCATTCTATTCTCTCAGTCATTCGAGGAAGGCAAGTCTTCTGTGGCCACAACTTTCTTCCTGGGTCCTTTTGCCTGTTCTAACCTATATCTCTTCTCTTCCTATCAGATTTCAGTCTTGCTTTACAGTAGGTGACACCTGACAACTGAAGTTTTATTTTGATAGTAGATTCTTAAAGTTCTTCCATGTCAAAAGAATGAGGCTTCCATCATTGTTTAAGGTGCTTTAACTACTGCGTCTGAACCCAGACCACCTAGGTAACAGCGAAAGCTAAAACTCGGCATGTTTCCAGGGAGCCACCTGGGGAGTTGTGGCCCCGACTAGCTGTGCTGCAGACTCTACTGCTGGCCACTCCTGTGCCAGATGAACCACAGAATTTCAGCAAGTAAAGAGCTGAAGATGGAGCCACTTCATCATTTTCAACCTGTTTCTTCATTCTCAAGCCCTGCAATGATGTTTTTCTACAGAATTTCAGTTTGTTATTTATTACTCACTGAGGAAGTCGGGTTCATATGAAAGCTTCCTCTTTAGACGAGATAGACTAACAGTTTGGGGGGAAAGTAGGATTAATTATCACTCAGCTGTTAATAGTTCCTTGCTGACCTGTAAAAACCTAGTAAGAATGAGGTCAACTGAAATAATAGGGTCTATTTAAAGTTTGGATTATATAAGACGTCTTTAGGGATCACATTATTTCAGCAAAGAAAATATTGCAGGGTTCTCTCCTCTTAAAAGAAAATAGCTTTTCTGCTGGAAAGTTTCCAAACCACACCATTGCAAAACCCAAACACTTCAAACCAGTGAACACTAATGTTTAACTGTGTGTGCCTAGTTATTTTAAAACTTTTTCCTTGGTAATTGATTTTTATTGAAATCCAGGTGTCATTTGGTGTTCATATCCCAATTTGAAGATACTTGCATTGCCTAGAGGTTAATATTTTATACACTCTTCAATGAAGACTATATTCTACAGTGCTTCCTATGATTAGGAGAAACTGTAATTGGCGTCTCATAGATTTGGGGAAAGCAGTGAAGGGCAGGGCTGGTCCAAGGCCTGATTGTGAAATGCCTAAACATTTTAAAGCCCTTGACATCTTAGTTGTCATTTAACTCATTTTTGTGCCCTGATCTCCTGTTCAGCCACTTTGAGCTGTGTAACTGTCTGATTCAGTTCTTCCTGTTGTGGACTGACTGAGATGGTACAGCATGTTAACTAGTATGGCGGAGGTTTCAAAAACTGGTCATCATCCTCATCCTCATCCTCACCCCTATCTTCATCATTGCAAATTGACCTCCTCCTAAACTATGTGCTATGGTTTAAATAAATGTCCCCTACAGGCCCATGTATTGTAGATTTGATTCCCTGACCCATGACTATATCTCTGAGACACTATGAGAAAGAGATACTTAATGCTAGTCTATTATGCAATGACATTGCTTATAAGAACGGTTGCTTTTTAATCATTTCATTCCTCGATGTTGAAAGGTTTTCTCAACATAAAGGAATGTGTCTTTAATTCAGCTATTTTAGGCCCCCATAGACAATCAAGAAGAGCACTGATACAGGTTGGGGAGTGATGATAACTGGTTGTTCATAAGAGGTATCTGGCTGTAAAACTGTCATACTGTGAATGAGGCATGGGTGGGACCTGACCCTTTCTGGAGCTAGCAAGTCCAGGTTGGGCCACTTCCCTGGAATCCAGAGGTCTGTGTTCTCTTGCCTCCTCCCGCCACAAGCATTCACTGAAAGCTCTGTTTGGTTTCTGTTTTCTCACAGGATGCTTTGAAAGGGAGGCATCAGGATTTAAGGAATCTTAAGTTTATACTATTATAGGGGCGTCTTAGTAAATGTGGAAGTCAGAAATGAGGGCAAATGTTCACTTGCTGTAATGAAAGGAATTACTACAAGGGTTACACTTTAAAAAGCTGGCTGTGGAGCTGGGCATGGTGACACACATCTTTAATCCCAGAACTCAGGAGGCAGAAGCAGGCAGCATCTCTCTGAGACAAAGCCCAGCCTGGTCTACAAAATGAGTCCCAGGCCACCTGGGGCTACAGGGAGACTCTGTCCCAGAAAACAAAACAAAACAAAAAACTGAGGCGGTGGTTAATCTTGATGGTTAACTTGATCAGACTGAGAAGCACCAAGGAGATCAGTGAAGCACAGCTATGGGTGTGTCTCTGAAGATGTGTCCAGAGAAGATAAACTAAGGGGCACGACTCACCTTGCCTGTGGGTGACAGGATCCCATAGCTATGCTCCGTGGGATGGAAGTGGGAAAAAGAAAAAGCCACACACAGATTTCCTATCTCCGCTTCCTGGCCATTTTGATGGGAGCTGCTCTGCACCACACATCCTCCCTGCTTAGATGAACTGCTACCTCCACAAGTCATGAGAAATCTCCTTTCTTACGTGGTTCCGTTTGGTGTTTTCTCATCACAATGAAAAACCTGACTAATATACTCTACTGTATATTGTATACTATACTGTACTAAAGAACACAGAATCCAGAAACAATCAGTTTGCTCATCAGCTCTCTCATATATATATATGTAAATCAGGGCAGTTTTATCTACAGAAGAAAAAGCTACCCAACCTCTAACCCTTACTCTATCACTTACTTTGTTTCTTACCCTGTGCTTCCATCTCATCTCCAACCTGATTCTCTAAGGCCACAACCAGAGTGTACAATAGAGACCTGCCATCTAGTTCTCCAGTAATAGAAATGTGCCATCTAGTTCTGCATGTAAGCAACAGCTTAACCTACAAAATACAAACTTATGTATTCTACGCTCTTGGAGACCTGCCTAGCCAACAGTTCATATAGAAATAGCCCACCCCTGGTACCGAGATTTTCAACCAACAATTTTACTGCTCCCAGGTGTAATTTTTTTCTGCTCAATGTTTTTTCCTTTAAACTCCTTAACTGGTATCTTACTCTTCTTCCAGATGTTCTCACAGATCTGTAAGATACTCAGAGTTAGCATTTGTGATGGCTAATCCCGGGTGTCAACTTGACCAGGTCTGGGATTAACTGAAATGAGAGAGATCTTCTTAATTGGATCATCGGAAGCTGGAAGACACACCGTAAATGTGGGTGTTACCTTCTGATGGCAGCCGGTATAAAAGGCCATGGCAGAGGAGAACACTTTTTACTTTTTGCTGCTTGCCTTCTCTCTCGCTGGTGACTTCATCTTCTTGCTGTAGACTAAAGACTAGCCTATCTTTTGGAATTTATCAGACCTTCAGCACCAGATTAGGACTACTGAGACATCCAGTCTCATGGACTGAACAGCTATGGATTCTCAGCCTCTCCAGTGTGGTGCAACCATTGTTGGACTACTCGGGCTTTATCTTGTGAGCTAAGCTGATAAATCTCTATACATATATATTCATTCTACTGGTTCTGTTTCTTTGGAGAACCCTGACTAAAGAAACTTTTTCATACATAGTGGAAGGACCTTTGATATCCCACTTCTGTCCATTCCAAGCAAGTTGCAATTGGTCTTGTATGGCTAAGGGGATAGTAAAAAAAAAAAAGAAAAAAATCAGCAAGATGTAATACAGCACTGAAATATTTACTTCACTTGTATCATTGTTTTATTCAGAAAGCAGTGTTGGCCACAGGAGTGTGGACCAAGGACACTTACTTCCCTGTCTAGCCCTTAATAATATAGTCACTTTCTATGACCCATCCTGTCTCTTCATCCTGCAGTGCTGCTGTCACAGAGACACTCGCATCTCCTTACCACTGATGCTTTTGATACAGAGGCCTTGTACTGTTCAGACCAGGTCATGTCCAAGGGGAAGCAGGACCACACTCTTCCCAGAATGCTGTTGAAACCAGTTCCCTTGTTCTGGCAGACTCTGAGTCAGCATCATGGTCTCTGACTCTCTACCAACCACATTTGGCCATTCAAAAGGCTCTAGAATGTGTGTAACCTTCACTCTCCAGGGTGTTTTCTTTCAGGGGAGAGATGGGTGCATTTCACTCCAAGGGAATAACTGTCCACACATTGGGTACATGTAATCTTTTCACTTATACAGTTTGATAATTTATGTCTTCTACGTACTGTTGCTCAAGCTTTAAAGCTTTCCAGAAGTTCAATAATACAGTGAATTAATCCCCCTACCCCAGGAGCTCTGGCCTCATACCAATCTTACCTCATGTGCTTTTGAGTGATATGAGTCGACCTTCTGACTGCTTTCCCTTTCTGTCATTCCCCCTTGATTCCTTTAGCATTTTACAAACCCAATGTACAGACTGGTCAAAGTCATTCAGATTGGGTCATGCTTCTATCTCATAAGGATTATTTCAAACCATGAGGGCCAGCAAATCAAAGTTGTACACTAGTTGTAAGGTCTATGTTGAATCAAACACTTTCTTTTCTTTTAATTTTATTTATTTTCATTTTAAGTGTATAAGGGTTTTAACTGCATGTATGTAATTGCACCCCGCAGAGGCCAAAAGAAGGCATCAGATCTCCTAGAACTGCAGTTATGGACTATTGTTATCTGCTGTGTGGGTGCTAAGAATCAAACCCAGATCCTCTGCAAGAGCAGCCAGTGCCTTATCCGCTGAGCCATCTCTCCAGTCCATCAAATACTTTCTTAACTCCCCCATAAGCATAGATCTGTCCACCCAGTGAAATAAGCTGGACATCAAGCACAGCCTCTCCCAAGCCCAAATCTCTCTCTTCAGTGCATGCCCTTCCATTATTGCCTTCCTGTTCCTTATATTCACGCAGACCTCCCAGGCAATGATAACCACATATTTCTAATGGGTTGTATGGGCCAGTCTATCAAGGGAGGGGTAGTTATATTACCTAGACTCTCTGCTTCCACCCCATTCAGACTGAGCCCATCCACTCCTATGTTCCACAGCCACATGCCAGGCAGATATGCTCTTTCATTGCTTATTTAGAAACCTTCGCTAACTCAAACAGTTCAGATGCGAGTATTCTCTGGTTGTCATAGTTTCTTGTTCTGAGCCATTATTAAGGTCCCTACATGTGTGCATGGTAAGTCATGAGCTGTGCCTTTCTCGGTGTTAAAGCAGAACTGATGGTGCGTTCTCTCATGTCTCCACATTCTGTTCCTCCTCACTATCTTATTCTTCTCATGGATTTGAAGTATTTGGCTTCCAGGGAAGACTCCTTAACACAAATCTAATAATTTGTGCTCTCTTCCCTTGTGTCCTGTAAGCTGTGAGAAGCAGCAGGTAAAACCGTACCTCATCTCCTCGCTTTCCATTTTCCTTTCCAGGTCGGAGAGGCTGATGCTGTAGACAGCATCTGCACGCCTTCTTTTACTGTAACTGCTCCCTTACAAAGGCATGTTCTTTCTGGGAAGACAGCTAAGCCTCAGTGACATGTCTCATCACCTACAACAAATAATATAACTGATTTCATAGCCTGTTTATGATTCTATCCCATATTTTCTGCTTTCAGGGATTGAAATATATTATCTAGTTCATCAACAGTTTGAGAACCGTCCCCACACTCAGATGCTAGGTCTCATTCATCTAGGAAGCATGCCTACCCATACCACACAGAGGAAGACAACAACCCAAGGACACTCCACTTTCAGACAGCTTGATTGGTATCCTGTCTTACCAGCTGAAACAAGGGATCCCTCAAAGACAGCTAGAGCATGGAGGTACACAGTCCCGTAGCACATGGGAAAGGGAGCCAGTTCAGGATCGTCCCCTGGATGCTTCTCCCTCTCACAGATCGGCCTCACTTGCCTTTCAGCACTCTACAGTAGCCATGTGACCACTCTTCCCCAACTCATCCTTGGTTCAACTGGTCCCTGTTCGAGTATCACTTGTGTGACTTTTCCTGGGGAAATATGAACAGATTCCCATGTGGATGCGGCAATGATGACAGATCAAAGAAACTATTCTATTGAACTCTACCTTAGTAAACCAAAAATTTTATTGGGATCACTTGCGGGAATATGGGTGAGAGGTTACCCACGGAAACATGGGTGACACAAAGGCAGCTGTTACTGAGAAGCCTGCACCCGCAGGGGCAATCACTTCAAAAGCTTCATCCCTCCAACTTCATCTACAACTTGCAGTCAGAGAAGCTGGCTGATGTCTCCTTCCCCCAGCAATTGTTTATTGCTTTTATAACCTTATAGAGGGGCCTTGTGACCCTTATAGTTTAATTCATTTCCTGAACTCTGTAAGTTTTGTTTACTTTATGAGTCTTACAAGCTTTCCTTCTCTCTAGGAGTGAATGCCAGGGAAACAGCTACACAAGAGGTACAGTACTGAGAGCTTGGTTCTCTTCTGTCCTCTCCTTCATCCCTATCGAAAGCAATGTGACACAGCAATTTTGATGGTGTTAAGAAAGCTTACTTTGTTCATTCATTTTTAATTGCTTATTCTTTGAATCCAAACTGCCACTTACTAGCTGTGTGAGATTCATACAACCCAGTTTCTCCAACCATCAATGTGTGTACAAATTAGCACCACAGAGGACTAAGATATTGCAGTGAACATTATTGTCCAAGGTTCAAGTGATTGCAGGATGAGAGAGTAAAAAGGGAAATAGGAGACAGGCAGACAGATCAAATATGGCATGGAAGCCAAGCTTCTCAGATGCCGAAAGGGAAACTGCTGGCTCTACCTCTTTCACTTTCACAGCAGTCCATAGCAAGACTGCAGTCATGAGTCCATAAATGGAGCTTGTCACTAAGCACACGAGACTTTTAGGAAGAAGCAAGAATTCCTGCGTGGCTCAGGTTTTCTTCTGATGGCTCTCCCTCTGAAATTCCATGAGATTTACCTCAGAGAGCTTGACATTTAAATGAGAACATCAAGTGCACCTGATGATGGGCCCAAGTGCCCGACTAGGACTCCTGGCAGGTGGTAAGGGCTCTGTAATGGATTTTTAAATTTTCTGTATTGAGACCTAGGACACTGAAGCCTGGTCTTATCACAGGTTCTAGATAGCCTGGGTCACCAGGCAACTTGGGACATCAAAGTGTTTTCACCAGGGCTTGCCTCTAAAGCCAGCCCACTCTACCTCCAAATCTTAACTCTAGCACCTGTCATCTTTAGAAGTTTGGTCAAATTATTTAAATTCCCCATATCTTGGTTCATTCTTTCAAAAACAAGGACAATTAAGTGTCTATCTTAAAGACCTGAAGCAAGCATTAAAATTGTCTTGTGAAATAATATTTCTAAAGGGTTTTAAAAGGTGCTGCCACATCACTTGTTCTCATAATGACTTGCTATAAATTCAATGGGAAATTGGGGGGGGCAGCATGCATGTGGTTATATGGATCTGATGACACTCAGAAAGGAGATGGCAATTAAAAATACAGATTCAGATTTTCTACTTGCGTTTGCACCTTGGGGCTGATGTAACAAAGTATAACAAAGTTGGAAACATCAATTTGGAGCTGGATTGGAAACAAGAGAAATGCAGTTCCTCAGGATTCTAGAGGCCAGAATTCTAAATTCAGTGTTTCTGGACCAAAATCATAGGGACGACAGGGCCACACTCCCTCTGGAGAGGCTCAGGAGAATCCATTTCCTGTTTCTCCAGTTCCAGTGACTGATGGCTTGCATTTCTTGGACTACGATCACATCATTCCTGTCTCTGCTGTGGGGTCACATTGCTGCTCCTGTACCAGCACGGAGTCTCCTCCCCCTCTTATGGACACTTAATGATGGCATTCAAGGCCAATCAAATATGTCAGGGTAATTTCCTCACCTCAGGATCATTAACTTAGCATATCCATAAGCCTAATTATTTTTCAAATAAGATAGCATCAACAGGTGCTGGGGCTTAAGTCTTCCCTGGAATCTTTGGAGGCCATTAATTCAGTCTACTCAGGACAAGGGACCTATAAATACACAACAGGAAAGCAAAGGAACAAGAGCCATCCTGGGGAAATGAAGAGAGACACACTAGAGAAGACCAGGTAGAGGGAGGGAGCAGGCGAGGCTCCAAACCACGGTGAGTTTCACAGAAGACCTTACACTCAAAAGCTTCAGAGAACCAAAGGGAGGCAGGGTATGACCAGTAGGAAGGGTGGCACATA